CTGCTGAACTGGAGAGCAGAGAATAAACCTGCTACCTGCGCTCTCTCAGGCTTCCTCCTCTTCCCCGTGCGCTCCCTCCTGGGGCTATCCAGATGGGTTTGGGGCCGCGGGGGTGCAGGTGCCCCATGGCATACCCTCCTTTTCTGCTGCTGCCCCTTTAAGTCATCACATCTTTCTTGCAACAGCAAGCCTGGGAACCTGTAGTAACTGGGGAGGAAGAGTAAAGACCCCGCTGCGATACAGGGGAGGCTGGAGCCTCCCTTCAGAGTTGAAGGAAAGTGTGACTGTCCTGTGCTTTTGTAGCGCTGCTTTTCAAAAACAGAGTCCACTTTGAACACTGACAGATGGTTAAAGCCTAGCGTTATTGACGTGGTGACTTGAACTTCCTACCACTACAAAATAGTCCAAACAGCCACTAGATTTATTTTTAACTCGAGGAAGATTTTTTTTTTTTTAGTTTAAACTTACACTTCAGAAGCAAAAGGAGGATTTTAACAACTTGGTGGTAATAAATAGAGAAGAAACATCTTCTCAAAAGCTTCACTGCCTGGTAACAAGCTGCTAGTTAGGAAGTTTTCTCCCTATTAATAGCTACACTGAGCGTAGCTTAGTTTCTGCTGCCCCTCGTGACTCTGATGTTCCTGCTTCACGAAATGCATTGCTGTGGCTGGCAGCAAGCTTGTTACCCTACCTGCAGTCCTGTGGTCTGGATGCAGCTCCTAAGGTTTGCTGCCTGGGAACCGATCCCGAAACCGCACTGGCCCCAGGTAGCAGGCATGTGCTCGCTGCCTTGCCCTCGGTGTAGTCCACCCCTGAACGGGCAGGATCAGGCAAGCCCGCTCTATGGTCCTCTTTTCCTGGCTGAAAACTGCTGGCTAATGGGTTTTGGAGAAGCGTCTCTTACTGTTAAATGAAATTCGTTAGTGGCATTATGCAGCTGACTTCCAGTTTCCATGAGGAAATTTGTGATGCACAGCAGCATGTGCATTAGCCGGTGAGAAGTAACCGAGTGGGATCTGGTGCTCTTAGGTGATGTGTTACACGTCTCTGAACAGTAAACCATACCTAAATGTTCTGGTGACATCAGAAATGTGCTGGTGGATCAACCTCTGCTGGATCGTATTGACTACTTGCTAATCTACCCTATAAAAACTAGACTACTTTACGTTGTGATGGGGAGCCTTCTGTGGCTAGTGATCTTCTACAGGAACTCAACAGCAAAACTTAATTGATAAAGAGAAAGTGTAGTCAGAGAGGGTGGCCACAGGACAGGAAATCTATCTCATCCTATGCAATATAAAACCAGATGCAACTGGGAATAAAGTGCAGGGGGTTACAGGCTTCCAAGACCTTGAAGAACATGACTCTTCCTTACAGTCTATCAATGGGAACATTAGTTTAATATTATACAAATCGAAGTGTTTCTGGTTGTAGTGGAGCAAAATGAGTAGTAAATAAGGAATATTTTCAAAATATCCCATTGCCGTTGATTCTAGTATTAATAAAACTATGATATACGATGAAGCTTTCTACAATATCCTTCCAGACTCTTCAAAACTGTACATTTGCAAAGAAAATCTCCCTTCCCTCACTCCCCCTAAAGAAGCCTCACTGGCTGTAGACGGCCCTGTAGCACCCTGAAACTGCCTGTCACCTCAAATCCAATGCTCACATACTTCTTCTTTCGTTGAACAAACAGGAAATGAAGGATCAGATGTCAAACTCCTCCATGCAAGCACTGGCTGAAAGAAAAAACAGACAGGTGAGAACCAGAAACGGGCAAGTTAAGTGAATGCAGTGGCTGTTTGGTACTTTAAGGAGTGAGGAGGACTTATCAGCTCTAGCAGCTGTTGTCTTAAGGTATGTGTTAGGTGATACTTTCATTTTCACTTACTCCGAGGCCCCACATCCTAAGGTAGAGTGTATAGCGTTGATCAAAACTGCGTAAAAGTTGTAATTACAATCTATATCCTGTCTGTAGTTCATCCCCTTAAAAATCTTTGTTCTGGGAAGGGGCTTGCATGCTGCAGCAAAGCTGTGTGTTTGAACCGTGTCTGTTTTGCTGACCTGAGAGAGCTGGTTCTCACAGGCCTGTTGCTGCCACCCTCTTCCAAGCCTGTCTCTCAAAGCAATAAGTCAGCACTCGCCATCTGTCTCTGTCTTCAGATCTGGTTGTGTACAACTGTCAGTGTTGCATCATAGCGCGGAAAGGGGAATCTCCCTTCTCCTCGGGGGGAACAGGCTCAGAATCCATGTCAGTGAATGTAATCCTGCGCTCTGCTGTATTTAGGAGCCAAGATGCTGCAATATCCTTTCACACAGCTGCCTCGTAATAGTTAGCCATGTAAGAAGATGGAAGAAGCTCAAGGAGTCTCAGGTTGTCTGCACTTGTAATCTAAGGAATAGAAATAGATGCGGCTTGTGCTCCTCCCCAGCTGACGGGGAGGCTGTAAGGAGATCTCAGAGCCGACTTCCAGAGCTGCCTCAGTAAAAGTTGGTGTGCACTTCATACAATTAACTCATCTGGCTGCATCAGTCTTACCACTTGTGGCAAAAATGACAAACTGCAACAAGCGACTGAGAAGCACAGAGCTGATTCCTGAGCTTGTTATGGGGTTAATTGATGGGCTTGGCAAACACTTGAAGAAGCAAAGTCCCTTACACCCTTGCTCAAACAAGCCTGTAGCTGTCTCTGCGTTTTGCTGCTTTCCTTTGTGCGAAGTTCCTGCTAGCTGCAGGAGACCATATGGCCCAGCTTGCGCCATGACATCTGGTCAGGAAAACTGACTTCCCCTTGCCGTCTTCCTCTCCTTTCCCCAGCCCCTCGCTTTCCCTCCAGACCGCGAGGCTTGGGCTGGGCTGGGCTGCAGCGGTTTTTCCAGCGTGCCTCTGTGTCTGAGAGGCTGGCTGGTGGCAACCTGACCTTCACAAGCTAAGGCTGGCAAACAGAGGCCTTTCTGTTGAAGCTGCAGCAAAACTAGCGCACCGCATCAAATAAGTGGTAGCTGCGCTTGCCCCGAACTGGAAAGAACCACGAGCTTGCTCAGTGTCTCGGGGGCAGACAAAGCCAGATGTCCTGCTGGCTTCCTGCGCAGTCAATCTGTCCGCTTTCCTTGTCCCTCCTTGAACCTTGTAAGGCAGATGAACCGTAGAGACCGTCTCTACTGCCGGAGCAGCCTGGTCATTGTCTTGCTGTTCTTCACAAATACTCAGTTGTCCCCTCCTGCCCACGAGCAGAAGCTGCGGGACGATCTCGTTATGAGTCGGCCTTGCCTCCATGCTGGCGGGCAGAGCTCCCTAACCCATTCATAGTGCTGCAGGGTGCAGCTCCTCACCTGCAGGCCATGTTCATTCTCCAGCATCTGTTGGTCGTGTTATACCCCTTCCAGGGACCAGACTTACTCAGCTGGAAAGTCACATCTCTGCTGGCTTTGCATGAGCTTCTGTCTTCGGGTTGTAGAGCAGGTAGCAAGTGTAATCTTGTATGCTGGCAACTGAACAGTATGCCGGAGGAACAGGTAGCCTGAATCAAAGAACATGAGCATATAACACTGCTGTGGTTATATATCGCACTGTTTTACTGTTAGCTCAACTGGTTAAGTACTTTATCCAGACCATCTTAAGCCCCTGTCATTAGTAGCAGAGTGTTCAGTTCGAGCTATACATCTGTTAACACAATATATATCCGGATACTTTTCAGCTTACATGTCCTAGCACACAGTGCTGCCTCTTGAGCAGATCTTTGCTAGTCCTTTGTGCAGTGCAGACCTCCTGCTTCCACAGTCTGTCGGTCGTACTCCAGAGCTGTATCTGCAATATCAGGCTGCAGAGACTTCCCAGGCTGGCATTTTGGCATTGTGTTGTTTTAGTTCGTGACAGCACTCTGGCTGAGTAGCAATAGAGCGGGAGGAAAAGGATGCTGTATGCGTGTGTACAGGAGTATTGCCTCGTCCGTCTTCCCAGTACACCCTGTAGGTGGGCTGCGAGCAGACACAAGGGTGTTGCTAAGGGCTCTCTGCATCTGTTTAGGCGCTCCTGGGAGAAAGTGGGAGTCAGAGTTGGAGCTCTGGACCTGACAAATACAGCCATCTGGACCGGGAGCTGCAATTAGCAAATTCACACTTCATCGAGGAGCAGCAAGCTCAACAACAGGTAAGGCAGCTGGCACCAGCGGACTAAATAGCTTTGCTTGCCAAATGGGTGCCAGGGGGATGAGGTACGGGCTGCGAGAGCCAAAAAAAATCCAGTCCTTGGCTGGTCTGGATCCAGCCCTGACAGCCCTGCCCTTCATTTGCAGCATATACCTGTGCACGTGTTCCCTGTACAGCGCAGCTTTGGATGCATCTTGGAGCTGAGATTTTAACCATTGAGGTTTGGGTCTTCTGCTCTGTACAGAAGGCAAACAACATGATCTGGAAGCTGTAGCATGCTAAGCTTTAATACTATGAGGATTGCTGAAATCCTTGGAAGAGTAGAAAAGTTGCAAACAGAAGAGAGGCTGTTTTTCTTACGCAGCTTCCCCTGGTTAAAAAATGAGCTGATGTTTGCTGTTGTTTGTGTGCATCTTCATCAGAACAGGCTAGGAGCAGAAGCACGTGCCTGCTTCCTTTTCCTGCCTTTGTCAACATGAGATTCGTGAGAAAGCCTGTGCGAGGGCTTTGCGAGAACCCCGCCGCCGGGGGAGTTCGTCTGGAGAAGTTCCTGGGCAGCGCGCAGACCCGCGTGCAGCAGCCCACCCAAACACGGGCCTTTAAACAGGCAGCTTCTTGGAGGTGGCAAACTCTGCTAAAGCTCCTGACCCGTGACACCGCCCCGGCTTTCAGACAAGTTTTACCTAGTGACTCTAGGAAGATAAATAGATTCAGAAGTAGGTAACTAGGGTAAATCTAATCCTTAGCGTGACTGTGCCCTGAAAATGACTTAAAACATCAGCAGACCTATTCCTTTGGCACATTTGGAGCCAGGCTTGCTATTTTTAGCTGTAGAAGCTGCAACAGCCTTTTACTCACATTAACCCCTTGTTAGCTGCAGCATGTTCCAGGTTGCATTTCCCAGGCACAGCATCAGCGTGGCTCCCTGGTGCCCGCTGCTGTGGGCAGGGGGGCTTGTGGAGGTTTTGATGACCAACCCCTGTGGCTTTCAAGAGACGCCTTAGCAGTGGGTGCAGCAGGGAAGGGAGGGGGCATGGCTGAGCTGAGGCTGGATTTGCAGGGATGTCAGGACACTGCAGCCTGCTGTGCTGTGGGGATGCCATACCAGGGAGGCTTTCCTGCTGCTGTCACTTCTCTAGCATTTCTTAGGAATACGGTCCTCATTCCTGGTGGCTTAGGTCTGTGCCCAGGCCCCGTGGCTGATGTTGGCCGAGCAGCGAGTGTCTGTCCACTGGATCGGCTGGCTCTGACCCAGCTGCAGGAGGCAGCAGACCTGTAATTGCCCGTTTCCCTTCTCTTTGGCCCCAGTTGATTGTGGAGCAGCAAGATGAGCAGTTGGAGCTGGTCTCTGGCAGCATCGGGGTGCTGAAGAACATGTCCCAGCGCATTGGCGGGGAGCTGGAGGAGCAAGCAGTGTAAGTGTGAGACATGGTGCCAAAAACCTGGTATGGGGCTGGAGGTCCTCACATATGTATCTCCACCCCTGTTAGGGCCTTGAATTACTAGTCCCTCAGGCAGCCTTTCCTTTGGAGCCGGCCTTTGATTTTAGGCAGTGGAAAGTATTTCTTACTGCAGCCTGCAAGGATCCAACCGCAGATTCGTTCGTTTGAAAGCCTGCACCTAGGGCAGGCTTAGCTGCCGGTTTACTTTCCCTTCTTTCTCCTTCTTTTTAAACACCCCCCCTAAGGCAGTTACGCTCCTTGGCTTCAGGCAGCCAGCGGTGCCGAACAGATGAGGGAGGGAGGTGCTGTGTAATGGGGGAGACTGGGTGCTTTCCCGCTCCACAAGGTTTTGTGCTGCCCTGGATAACTGCTTGACCCAGGAGTTCTCAGCTCTGCCTTGCCGCTCCGAAACACGCAGCACAGAGCTGCTATTCATAGTTAAAGCTAAAAATATCCCTCACCCACGCAAAGGGTTAAAGGGTAGCTCACAAAGTAATTTGCATCCAGCCATTTACATATAAATTAGATTTCTTTCCCAGTGCAAGTCCTTTGCAAACAAGTGCATAAAGTTTCCAGTTATGCAGGCTAACAGCTACCACTTCCAGAGAGGCTTGAAGGGTTCATGCCTAAAAACTCTCCTCAGCTGATAGAGATTGGAGGGCTATGTCCCTTCTGAAGTGATTTCTTTGATGGAGAGGAGGAACTTTAAACCCACCTCCTGTACAAAGTCTTGCAGCGTGAGAGTCTTCTGCTCTCACAGAAGCAGATTAGTGTGGTGTGTCCGTTTCCAGATCATCACGTAAGCCACCAGTGCTTGCTAGACAGTAGCAGATAACTACTGCAATGGGTTTTTTACAACTCTTTCTTTTTCCCCACTGAATTAAGGTTTAACAAGTGCCCTAGAATGCCAGATGAAGAAAGCTGTCATTTGAAACATGTTAAGCTTTAAAGTCCCACTGGCTGGAGATGGTTGGATTGGTTCCTTGGTTCTGGACGTGCCTGTTTCTCTTCAAATGGGTTCTTGACATTGACAAAGCACGGCTTCAGGAAGACTTTCAGATTCATTACAGTCGCTGTGTGGAGGAAGTAGAGGGGTAACTTCCATGCAGAGCTTAAAAAGCACTTTGAAAGCAATTGCAAATTTCATTCCTACTTGATACGTGACTGGAACAAGATTTTAGCTTCAGCTGCAAGCCCTGAGAACAAGAAAAGAGATTTAAAGTCCAAGCTGGCACCTAGATCTATCTAACCAGTCTCTGCTAATCACAGATTATAAATGAGACTTTCCTCTTAAAAGGAGGAAAACCTTCACTCCTCACCTTGCAGGGGTGTGTAGGGCTCAGCCACGAACACACAGCGGGGACCAGTGTGACAGGAGTCCAAAATGACTTCCCACTTCCCACCAAAGCAGAGCTGCTGCTTCAGCAGGTTTTTCCCCCCCTCCCCTTGGGTACTTTCAGGAGACCGGGCCGCATTGCATTTCTCTGCCAAGGTGTTTTAATCGGTGTGTGTGAGCGCACTGAGAAATCCCAAAGGGATGTGCTGCTTGCTGACGAGTGCCGTGCTTCTCTGTCCCCAGGATGCTGGATGACTTCTCCCACGAGTTAGACAGCACTCAGTCGCGGCTTGATAACGTCATGAAGAAGCTTGCCAAAGTGTCTCACATGACGAGCGGTAGGTCCTGGGAAGTGGGATCCAGTCTTGGAAAGGGAGAGACAAGCCCTCGGATCTTCGAGCTGGGACACTACGTGCTCCCACCCACCGACAGCCATCCCAGACCCGAGCAGAGGGGAGGCAGCAGCTCTCGGTGCTTGAAAGAAGGGGAAGACTTCCAAGCCCTGCAGCTGCACTGCTTGGCAGCCTGTCCTTTGCCTTTGTTTTATTTACAGATGCCTTTCTATTTATGCTGCTACTGCCACGGTAGGAAAATCCCCTTCTAGATGGTAGGAAGGGAAGCTCTGCAGCCTCCTGCTCTGCTGCAGTTTCCCAGCCTGCCTGCAGAACAAAAGCTTTCAAGGTGCCATAAAACACTCGCCACCGTGTGTGGCTTCCCCCGCACCAAACGCTTGCCTGCGGCAAGCCCCTTCCCAAATCCCACCTGCCCTCGGGCTGCTGGCGCCTGCCGGCCCGCAGGCCTGTTGTCCATCAGATATATCTCTCAGCTGGCGGAGGAAAGAGGCGATTTCTGCGCCGGGGGAGGCTGAACCCACAAGAAAAGTCCTTATAAGGCTGTGCCTGAAGCCGGTGGGCTGGCGGGGTGCCGCGGGTAGAGCAAACAGGAAGCCCGGCGTGCCTGCCGGGAAGTCCCCCTGACGGCTTGCCGCTGCGAGCGCTGGCGGTGTGCCCGGTGGTCGCCTCCTCCGTTACCCCTGTCCCGTGGGCGCTCGGGTAGCTTGTGGAGGGAGCAGTGAGTTGGGAGGAGAAGTGTTTCTGCTCTGCAGGATTAGGCTCGCTGGGGGATTTACGAGGTTGTGGAAATAGGGCCCTAGAGAGACCAATTGGAGTGCTGACAGTGCACTTTGGGTCACCAGTAGCCCAGTGGCAGCACGACTGCTGGCACACTTTGCGTATCAACCCTTTCCTCTGGGAAGAACGCTTCGATCATTGCAGAGTGCTTCTGAGAGTTGTGAAAGAGCATTTCTGCTATCCCGGGCATCACATGTGCCGGGACTGACGAGGAGGGCTCTTCCCGGGGTAGCTGCTGTGCCCAGAAGTTGGGGGGTGGCAGCAGCCCTGTCCCTGCTGCTGCACCATCGTCTCGCAGGGGCTTTCTCTCTGCCATCGCAGACGTGGCCATGGACAGGTAGCAGCTCTCAGAGGCGATTCAGCGTTGAGCTTCTGCAGAGCATGCACGGGGCCAGCGAGGTGTAAAGATGTCCAGGGGAAGCCTCATTCCTGGCACTCTCCTAAGGGAGCTGCCACAAGCTCTTCCTGACAGAGCTCTTTCGGGCAGCTTTCACCAGACCCCTTCTTGTTCCTCTAGCAAACAGGTTACTCCACGAATGAGCAGCAACACAGAGCAGCTCTCTGCTTGTTCCTCCCGATTGCTTTTGAACCGGCTTATCAAATCTGTTTGAACTCGGTTGGGGAGAAGCCTCAAAATTCCCACAAATGTCCCCAAAAATGGATGTATTCTGGAGGAGAAATGCTGTCGGCCCGTGGGCTGCAGCAGGGCACGCTGCCAAAGGAGCTGCTGCTTTGGCTTTTTATGGCTTCTTTAGGCTTAAATTGGGCTCCTAGCAGTACAGCAAAGAAAAGCTCTCCCTCCGATTTTCCTTCCCTGTTGAAGCAGGAAGACTGACGCTTCCTTTTCATTCCAGATCGACGGCAGTGGTGTGCAATTATCGTCCTCTTCGTCATCTTGCTGGTGGTGCTCATCCTGTTTTTCGTCCTGTGATGGACTGAACTTCCTCAGACGCCCCCTCCCCACCCCCTTGCCCCTGTAGCACGGGGAAATGAAACTCTCACCATTTCCGTCCGCCCACAGAGATCCCCGGCAAGAAAACCCGAAGCCAGCTCTCACCAT